TTCTGTCCGATTGTACCTAGTCTCCATAATTTCTCGGAGAAACTCCTCTCTCGCATTATGTCATTTCCAGATTCCCCGGTGTTTGCCAAATCTTCTCGCGCAACAATTTCTTCCGACTGTGATAGTCTATAATCTCATATTCTTAAATATCGTGCCCACAATATGAGTAGTGTCTTACCAAACCACCTTAAAGCAGCTTTCAGAACACTGGGGATTTAAAATGACCGTAGATAAATAGATTCATAAGAGGAGGGATAATTTCGCTACATCGATTCTTCACACTATTGAAATCGTGATAAAGGTAGTGTTACGGGATATTTCACCCACGTGCCTCTCATATTCTTTCTCTGCAAAACTCCTAATAAGCAGTTCGACGCCGTGTGTTCTGTTGTGCACACCATCGCTTTGGCTATAGATAAATGTACTTCTACATTTAAAGGCGTTTCTAATAGCATTATTTCAGCATTTCTCTTTGTGGATGTGCAGCTTCCTGTGTGTGAACCTCATTCTTTTGAGTGACCTAATACCCTACCTCATAAGCTGGCTGATTATTTCATCTCTTCCTTTTTCCGCACGCAAATGTTGGAAGACAATGCTCTGTGTAAATTCCATGTAATATTACTGTTTTCAAAGTGCAGGTTATTTACATTTGCCTTTCAAATGAGTAGTCCTTAGTTGGTGCTCTTGGTCAATCTGTTTTTGCGAACCAGCGACTTTCCCCATTCCCTTCAAATTATTCTGTTCTATGAGTGATTAGTTTGATACATCTGTGGCGGCTTCAAGGTAAATCTCTAAACTAACCGCTCTGTGTGTGTAACATAGACTTACTTATATCGTCTTGTCAGTGACTCCCGTATAAAAAGTCCTCATTGATTGTGCGCTAAACTTTGTGTGTACTGTTTCTTAACTCAAGGTCACCAGGTAGCTAGCAGTCAATTTTTTTTCAATCAAATTTTGACTGCTCTAGTCAGAACTCTAACCTTATGTTTTTCTGAACCTTGTTTTGCATTCCAATGATTTTTATAAGCCCGAAAAGAAAACAGCAAATAGCTGTCGGTGCATATTTCATTTCTTTTGAGAATATGCTCTTCTGTAAAATATTGTTGTACACATACAGATTTAGGTCTTACGGGGTACTCAGCTAAATCCCGTGAAACCTATTGGTTTTATTGGTCTCTGCTTTAAACGTCTGTGTTCGCTTATACCAAAAGACATCCCCACAGATCTCAGTTTATGTCTCCCATCTGCAAACGAGGAAACTTCTAAACTTTTATGAATACTCATATTTCCATATGCTTGTGATTTCACAAACATGTAAAATATTTGGACTAACATTCAGAGGGACATTTTCTGGTGTTTTTTCACTTCAGTTATTCATTGTTAAGTAACGTTGTCCTAAAAACTCGCTAACACATTTTCACAAGCATGGGACATTGTCAGTCATTTCGACTACGTGGTTAGCTAGTGCATCAGGATCATATGTTCTCATATAAAGAAAAATGTTGTCTTTCAGCAATCCGCAGTGCAGATTTTTTTAACACTGATCGCCATTATTCATCCCCTTAGGCGGCACTGCGCTATTGACATTTCGTGCTCAATGATACAGCACATATTTTTACGTCTAAGGTATTGGTCGGATCAATTTATGTCCAACGGAAAGTTTACTCATTTTGCCGATCTCTTTATCGGCCATGCTTGCAGCAGACCGACGAAGGTAACAGACACACAGTAAAATTTCTGTGATTAGTATTTTTGTACACAACTTCCTTAGGGAAAAGAATTTATCACCATCTTCGTTCTACGGGGTTAATATTTTCCGGGGGAGATTCTCTAAACAAAGCCTCGTCACCTCCAACACTGTCTTCGAGAGGAAGCTCGATTCTACGGGAGGTTTTTTGTGAATATGATAACTGTTCAATAAATAATCAATAAGCTGTTACGTGAAGGGAATGGAATCCGGAAGACACAACGAGATTTACATTTTGTTTGCCGGTATGATGAGGATATAAGAGAGCTTCGGATTTATTTCCCATTTATAGCACCTGGTTTTCAAATTTCTTTCCAACCTCAAGATGAGGGGTAGCTCGACGATAAGGTTTCCCACTGTTTAAGCTAAAAATTCTGCATTTTTGAGAATAACTTTACGTTGTGATTAGACTATCCATAATAGGTGGTTACATATTCAATAGGTTAATACCTAAGATATATTGTCTATAACTTTTGTTGGCTGAATAAAGAAATTTAAATAAGGCCACAATGTAATGACATGTTAAACGGCGCCATATGCAACCGTCTGTAGTCGAGACAAGCCATATCGAAGAGAGATTTGGTTACACCAGCAAATGTCGCATCAACGTCAATATAAATCTGTTACCAAAATTGGCAATTATATTTGGAAGTGTACTAGAAGCGATAGTGTGTTAAATCACGTAAAAACGATATCCCTCTTGGACAGTCAACTTACTTTTGTTGTGGTGGTCTAGCCTCAAAGTTGATCACAGCCTTCAAAATGGGGAGCAGTGGTCATTTAATGTGTTTGTCACAGTTCTTCCATTAGTTGATCAAGGGTCCTATTACACGGGGAAATCCTTCAATGATCGGCCTGTACACACCACAAAGTCAATAAAAAGGAAAAAGTAGATTAAACCTCTGGTGAGATGCACCCATTTTCTAGATAAGTCGTGGTTAACCGGAGGCTCAGCTGAGCTCCTTGTAAACCTCCAGTTTGAAGTGTTCTTCAGCTGAATAGGCTGCACAAAATCTTTCACGTTTCATTCTTATGCACTCCCGACGAAGCGGTCTATTCACTAGGCTGCTGAAGACTACTCGACAACCCGTGACCGATATTGTCTCTATTGATAATCATCCGCTAGTTACGATCCACGCGTCTACACCAACCATACATTCTAGGTGAAAACAAGATTGTGTGCTTCAGAAGGACACTAACGTGACAAGCAACAATACAGCATTACTCCAAGTTGAACGCTCACTTGCACCAAATGAGGGTGTTCTAGTAAATGAGAACTACTAGCTTCTCCCCAGTTCGTCAAAATTTAGAAAACATGGCAGTTACATCATTGGCGTGCCTAACCTAAAGTCTTTGGGGATGTTTGAAACACTCGTGTTGACAAGCGCTTGGCGTTTCTTAGATCGAGGTGATTTTTCATTGTTTTGTCCAACCACACGGAATGGGTATGACTAAACACATACGTCCTTCTTTCTTAGCTTCATCAGAAAATACCCGGTTTTAGGCGACGGAAGTATACTCTGAGTTATGATAGATCTTTAATGTTACTTCCTGCTAACCTCCGACTTATTCGTACTCATAATTTTTGGTCAGCAGTATCTTCCAAAGCAATAGGTAACCAGTGTACCTTAAAATGAAAACGGCATTGATGCTTCAGTTCCCCAGTCCGTGCATAATACCCTTGTCATTTACGGTGTTAAACCTCATAACTTTGACCAAAATCGTAACCGAATAGTCTCAAAATGTCGCGACTATAGGATTTAACTCAGGAGCCGTAGTTTGAACAATCGGTTTATTAAATATTTAGGAATCGCAAGTTCTCTGTTGCACACAAAAAGTGTTTTCTGGTTGCTTTAGATGTGCTGAATCGTTCGTTATGAGTATTCCCACCTCGTTTTGCGAGCTTGGGTAATGACCAAGTGACACTGACGTGCAACTTGAACAAATTGTTTGCAAACTCTATCATTATCACCATTTGTAACGCTATCCTCAATCGGTTGCCTGAAATCTCGTTACTGCATTTTTATCTACGTCGCCGATAAATGGCCAGATCAAGTGTGTGTTCACCATAGAATGCAGGGCTATCAAAAATACATTAGAGTCTTGTTTATAATCGCCATTCTTAAGGTCAAACACATCACATCTCAGACTGTACTTTAAACGATGTCCCTCTCCGCAATGGGCTGCCTACAATGTGCCCTAAGACAGGGGACTGATGCAGAAAAGTTTCTTGTAGCCGAGGAGGCCTGATTCTACTCAGGAATTCGTCTTCAATGTAGCCGAGGAGGCCTGATTCTACTCAGGAATGCTCACAAACTAATACATGTGTAGTTTCAGGGATATGGTAATTTAACTTATTCATGGTGGACATGTTTGAGTAAAGAAATCGAAGGTTTGAGAATATGTTTTAAAATTTTGCAGTAAAGTGTGAAATAAAACTTGATATTTGGCTGGGATTAGCTCAAATAAAACCCCTCTGGATCTTTCGCTATATGATTTCAGTATAGGATGGAGTGTGCAATTAGCAGAAAGGATGGCACCGAAAATTTCAGGGCTTAGATACATTGCAATTCTGTCTGAGTATCACGCGAATAACTGAGTACCCTCTTAGGAGGATTGCTAAACGCGACAAACTTGTTTTCACTTGATCTATAGAACTCATCAAAGGAGTTATTCGGAAATCACGCCTCACGAAAACAGGAGGCTATTACAGAGCACAAAACCAAAGCTGCCATATTTTTTGTTCGGGAAAATATACATAGATACGTGTCATGCGACCGCACTGTGATATTGCTTGATGTTTCTGCTGGGTTTCGCCACCTATTCATGCTAAAAAAAACTAATTTGTAGCCTACTGGGGAAAACGTCAGAAAGTGGGAATAAGTGAAATGGTCTCCTGCTTTATCGCTTTGCCAGAAATCACTTGAAGCCTGTTTCCAATGCGCTATAGACAATCGGCCACGACTATTTCAAATATTACTTGGTGAGGCAGTATGCTTCAATTGGTGGATGTTTTTCACCAAACTATGTAAAATAACCTGACAGCGTCTCAGGACATCATTTTGCGTAGGTGTCTCGCTTAATCTCGAACATACTATTCCTGTTGTTGGTGGTTAGCGGAGGTATCGGTTGCGGACGTTTCCACGCTGTTCAAATATTGCTGAATATTATTTCACTATACAGTGGTACGTAATGACTGTTTCACACAGCGCTTACCACTTTGCATTTTGACAGGTTCTACTGGGACGTCATCATGTTACTTTTGCTCATTGCAAACCTGATTATTCTTCCGGTTGCTATTTCATTTTTTAACGAAGAGCTGACGATACACTGGATTGCCTTTAACTGTATTTCCGATACAGTGTTTTTGGTGGATATTGGAGTCAATTTCAGGACAGGTAAGTCCTATGTGATTGCGTACACTTGTTTTGTCTTCGTTAGAAGACGTTGTCTATGGGCTTTTGATAACGTGAGTCAGTCACATTTCACCTATTTTAATGTAAATCTCCTTTAACTAAAGTGCCTTCACTTTGCGACATCTTTCCGGCGTAAATAGGTCATCATATCTTCACGAAAAATCCATCATATTGGATTGTCTTTCATTCAAGCTGATAATTTAGCCTAGCTTGAAATTACAATACATCACTCAGCATGGATAGGGCATCCAAATTTTCGAGAGTGATGACGAATATCTCCAACACATGGTCCGGATTTCTCTTGCGTGGCGCGCAGTTGAAATTTCACTTCCGCGGAGTGCGAAAAAATGTTGCAACTTACAGTAGTAACACGTAGAAGTCGTCTGGTAAATCGGGACTAATAGAATCACAGTTACTAGGGATTGTCACTAAACAATCTCAGAATAATTCGTGCGGTTTCCGAAGGGATCCTAATATGTGTCGGGTACTTCATACCATCCTCACATCTGCTACGGAAACACCAAACGGTCGGCCAGTTATTCAACACTATCACGAATTTCACGATGGACTGTCAGACTGTAACTCTTAATATAAGCGAATGCAAAGTTGTATCGCGACACATTCCACAGTATGACTGTCTGTGGATGTGTTAGTCAATCTCAGTGCCAAAATCGAAACGTATTTTTGGGCACATTTACTGAAGCAATTTTCGGGGATAGCGAGATACTTGGTACAACCTTACAGAGTAATTTAGTAAGTAACTCAAGCGGAAACAACAATGTCCTAACCTTGAAGTGGACCAACTTTTCCGAAGTCGCTGAAGTCACTTTGTTGCAAGAGAAACGAATACTTGATTGTTTGGTTGGTCCCTTGATTTTACTCACCTCAAATACTAAATCAGTAAATACTGTATACTATGACTTTTGCAGGGTCTTTATGAAAACCATATGGTTATGAACAGTTAATTTAAACTAAAATATATGCACAATCCATTTAGTAAGAACTTCGACCTGAATATCAGGATGTTATGTCAGGGTTAATCAGGGGAGACTGATGAACCAACTGCGAACTAGCTTGTGCGAAAAAGGAATGAAAATGAAAAAAGTCGATTGTTAGAATCCGATACAAATACAACGCATCAAAGGAAAATAAGTTTGGGTGATCGAATGAAGCAGTTTAAAGACAACTGGCAGGTAATGTCTACGTTCCTGAGGAAGATTCTTCAAAATTAAGCATGATTTTCTGGCGTCCACAAACCAGACGTTTTTGATGACCGTATGACTGGGAAAGATCTCCACTAGGGTAACTGTGCTTCCGTACATGACCATTTGAGTAAACCAGCAGAAACACTCGCAAACTATTGAGAGACATGTAAGATTGTATGTCTCTCTTCATAAGGGTCCTTCGCGACTACCCAACATTGCTATTAACCGCGATATGAGTGTTCTGTAGGGGAACCGTGTGCTGCAGCGTGTTGATACAAAGGAAAACTCGGGGAATAATGCATAATATTTTTTTAACAAAACTCCGCTTCCTCGCCACCAGTATGTTTTCTTCATCTGATGAATGGAATCACTGTATCGCAGAAGGGCCAGCAGTACCCTCTGACTGAGCGAGATAAAAATTGTGCACGATGCACTCATTATGAGGAGATCTCAACAAAAAGGACTTTCGAAACTGCTTACTATTTGGTTACACCCACACATAGTTTGTGGCTAACGTTTCAAGGGGATTTGTTTGAAAAACATGTCACTGTAGTTAATGAAAACACCGGTTCATATACTACTTCGTACTCTAATTTTATTACCCATAGGCGTAGATTGGACGATAGATTTCTGACAGTCCATAGTCAGATGACCACAGTGGATCGGTAATAGAATGGATATGCAATAGATAAATGTCTTTCCAGGGTAGCCAGTATACACCCAATTTTTTTTGATATACTATGCAGATACCCCTCAAGAATAACTTGCTTGCTGTGCATCTGTACTACTAGAAACCAGAACTGATATGTAAGAATATGTCTCGTCAACTTGGACTAATTTCTCCCTATTTTTCGGCAACCTAATGCAGCACATTTCTTGTGCTCTTAACGTGTACGGCGGTCTCACTCAGCGATTGACTCAGCCATAAACCTTTGAGAATCACGTGACTCAGCTGGCTAATGAGTTCGCAGGAACTAGCCTTCCACAGAATGTGTGATTTATTCTGATCATTTTAAGTGACGTGACATAAGATATTACCGAAGGTCCAGTACTAATTACAGCTTACGAGGAGTTTGCAATATACCGTGTTGTGTCAAGCCAAAAATGTCCACTAGAATCCTTTCTACATAAAGTGTCAAATGCGTGATTCATATTGTTCTGCATTTTATGAAACTGTGTGCCGAAGTGTGAGCTTCTTCCACACCAACAATTATGGCAATGATTGTGCTGGTACCACAATTCATTTTTTATTATCCGCATGGAAGACAACGTTGAAGGCATGGTATGATAATCTGGGCATACGCCACCATAGTGAGCGGAGTTGGCATGTGGCTCCCGCTGCGCTTTTCAGCGTTCTCTGGCTGAGATGAAAGCAGGTTTTAGTTATTCAGGAGTTATCCCCTTGGAGTCTTATTTATATGCACCTTCAGGGAACGCAGTTCATGGGAAACATTTACAAAGTTGGGTCAGAAGGGATTGAGGTGAATTTATAATACCAGACTTCCTTGAAAACGCCATTATTCCTCATTCATTCCAGGAATAATAAAAAACAACTTCGCAGATGAAATTGTGCTTAATCCCAAAGAAATTGCCCGACATTATGTGAAAACTTGGTTCCTCCTGGATCTGCTGAGTTCCCTACCTCTGGACTACATATATCTGATTTTTCACGAAAATGAGAATTTCTCACACATTGTACAGGCAGGTAAGTACAGGTATATTATTTTTTACGTTTGGGACGGTGGTTTGCACCTGCATGTTTTTGACTCAGATCTGTACATGGTAATTTTTCTCGGAATGGCGTTGCAATTTTTTCAGAGCTCAAGGACGTAATTCCATTTAAACATCTATGCGATTTTGCGCGGAACCAAATGTTTCGTAACCGAAATTTCCATAAAGTTAAATGCAATTTTTCAAACTGAACTCCTATTTCAAAACCTATATTGCTCAGAAGTGGTTTTTCGCTGACCTATACAGGCCAGATTTCCTAAAAATCTAGGACAGCGGAGACTTCTCAGGCTCGTCAAAACCCGCAGCTTTGTTTGCGTGGAACAACACAGAGATCGATAAACTGGTTGCGTAAACAATTAGCGTGAATGTTCCCCAAAATATTTTTAAAACGGTCTACTCATCAAATGAATTTCTCGACATATGAAATGACTGAAGTAGGTATAAACGGGTTCTTCGTGGGCGGGCCGGCTATCATACAGCAATCCTGCGTCTGTTAGCTTGATAATGGATTGGCTTGCTGAAACTTCCTTTGTTGGCGAGACTACATCAGTCCATCAGTCTCACCTATCCACGGCTGTCAAATTGCGGAGCTATTCTCAGACACAGGGTATACGGTGTACCTTGGATGGGGACAATGTGAACTAAATTTAGAGTTAAACTATTGGTTTCATAATTAATGGCCAGCTAGTATAGACAGAATCATTTTACAAAACTCAGCATTCCTGGAATTCGATAGTTCTATCCAGATTCGGTAGCAGAATTGACTAGGATTTGGAAATCTAATATACTTGTGTGTCATAGAGAATGTTGTAAGCGTATTATTGATGCCAAATCTGTGATCGACCGTGTGCACAACCGCGATCTTAAGATTCTTCTGATCTGGTAATTTACGTTGCACCGGCAACCATTCAGTTGAGACTGAATTTTTTTCGAAGTCCCTTGAGAATTACGCATACTTTATCCTGAGTTACAACCCCAGTCCCAAGTCTACGCTGTTGTGACCTTTGGAGTGTCTTCTAGATAGTAATCGCTATCTGCGAAGTTGCTATTCTTGCAGAGGTTCAGTAGCATTTGTGCCAGAACATGGTTTTAACAACAGTAAACGGTTCAACAGTCCACGAATTTATAACAGCTGATGTCCTTGGAGACGAGTTTTCTCTTTTGCCACAGATCTGTGTTGTTATAATAGACTGAGCTGTTTTTTAATCACTCAGTTTTCGTAAGTGACCAACAGCACATCAGTGTACTACTTGTTTCCCGGTCTTGCTAGGCATCTTGTGTTTTTGACAGTGGTGCTTTTGCGGGGTCATTCAGATCGCTTTAAACACTTCCTTTTTATCGTAATACCTAATTTTCGTTGCCTCCTGGAAACCTCACCCACTCGACTGTACAATGACGATGTCTCCTCGACTGGGGACTAAACGTTTGCAAGAGAATTGCCGAGCTCGCCGATCAGATCAACTGCCATCTGATCAACCATCAGTAAAGAAGACTGTTCATTGGTAGCCTATATGAGCGTACAGATAAACACTGAAGTAAACCACGGACCCTCCATAAAGATGAAGAAACTGAAAATAGGAAATTTCTAAAAGGCGTGCATTTGGACGCGTCAACGACGATCATTATCGACATTCCGGTAATAAAAGATGCTAAACCACAAGAATATGGTTTTCATCATGCTACCGGTCGCTTACTATGAGAGCCGTCTAAACTCCGAACAGCTTGGGGGATTATAGCCTTCGGTTTTGCAAGCAAGGTGTCCATTGTTTTGTTTTCTAGCTCTTTTATCTATGGTTGACAAAAGGTGAAAAACTGAGTGCATATTCTTCTGTGAGAAGACACGACTAAAATGTACTGATAATCTTTCACAAAAGACAGCTGTGTGAATTAGTGAAGCCTCGGAAATACTCATTACCATGTCTTGTAACCAGCAAATTTGGTTCCGTGCCATGCTGTGGTAACATTTGTCTCTCAGTTCATCAGAAGATCCTGCGGCAGAAAATTTGAAAAAATGGAAAATCCGAATAAAAAGCAATGTAGATCAACGAAAGTTATGAGCTGGGAATATTATAACTATTTCAGGAAATCCGTAATTTTTATGTTGGATCGTTGGAAAGAAAGTCAAATCTAGTGTGCATGTGAGAAATGCTGGTAGGGAAAAGGTGAGGACTAATCACATGTTATTTTCAACTTTTACGCCATATAACCCGACTCGTTCAAGCATGGTTTTATTTATTTTCCAAAGAATGAATGTTTTACAGGACTTACATACGAGTTCATTACGAGGGTTTCGGCATCTTGCTTCTGTGAGTATTGCTCGCGTATCAGAAAATGGCCAAAGCTCTGAACTGAGTCCTAGAAATAGGTCAGTGTATAGAGTATGTGGGCGTTTCTGAAGGTATTACCCTCTTTGACCTCTTTGAGAACTGTATTCGCTTCAATTATAGGGGGGTAATGCTGCCGTGTGCATGTGAGAAATGCTGGTAGGGAAAAGGTGAGGACTAATCACATGTTATTTTCAACTTTTACGCCATATAACCCGACTCGTTCAAGCATGGTTTTATTTATTTTCCAAAGAATGAATGTTTTACAGGACTTACATACGAGTTCATTACGAGGGTTTCGGCATCTTGCTTCTGTGAGTATTGCTCGCGTATCAGAAAATGGCCAAAGCTCTGAACTGAGTCCTAGAAATAGGTCAGTGTATAGAGTATGTGGGCGTTTCTGAAGGTATTACCCTCTTTGACCTCTTTGAGAACTGTATTCGCTTCAATTATAGGGGGGTTAATGCTGCCACACCTAGTAACTGAACAAGCAAGCGTTTTTGTCCTCTACCTTAATGTGATGCATTTTTCCCGGCAGGACATTACATCCCAAGTCATTTAAGAGTTATGTCAACCAACAAGGACGGTGGTCACAAGTAGAGCAATCTGCAGCTGTTTCCAAGATTGCGTGCCCCCTAATGTGCTTAAAAGCTTTATGAATCAAGGTAGGCGTGAGAAACGAATCCAAGTTCTATTCACTTCAGTGATCAGTTTTGTTTGTTTACAAACATCAGCATGAAAACGAGAACGACAAAAGTAAATAAATAACAATAATGCACGAATGGATGAATTTCTGATCGAAGAAATTTGTTGTGCAGTTTGTGAATCTGTTGTGGGAAAAAACAGTAGTATCAGGCAACATCATGCATCATCCCCCATACCGACTGAAATGGATATATATTTTATATAAGACGAATCGACTCGTTTATCTGTGGTGAAGTTCAGAAGCAACTCTGACTATGAATTCCATCAATATCTGCTATTTGGGCCCGTTTTAAGAGTAGGCTCACCCACACAGCTTGATTAGGCAACCAGCTTTACATTGTAACAAGCAGATTGCTGAAGAAATGTAGGTCAAAAGTTTCGAATGACTTGTACGCTTTTATTCACGCGAGCTGTCTTGGGGTCTTTGTGCAAACTCAGTATCAGTACCGATTGGTTCGGACGCACTTAACCCAGCTTTCTTGCTAGCAGCTGGACAGTTGATTACCAATAACTGTTTGAAAGTGCGAATTCGATGATTAGGGTAGGTCTCACCGTGTAGTTTTATTTTGTTCAAAAATCTACCCAACCGATGTTGTAAACTGTACATCGCAAAATAAAGGTGACCCAAAAGCCACTTGTGCTTAAAAAGCGCTGTTCATTTTGAAAGTCAGCACTTCGTTAGGTGAATTCTTTGTCCCATAGGGGTAGGAAAATGATGGGCAATTTTGTAAATGAAAGAAAAACAATAAAATAAATAAAAAACGCTGCGAATTATTGTGGTAAGCTTTGCTGCGCATTGCACGGCCAGGTGGGTTACTCAATTATAGTGGAGAGCGGACAGTCAAATCCAAGTGCAGATTTGATTTAACTATTTTGGTTGAATAAAACCCTGAGCGACTTAGACTTCACTGAGTAAGTTATCCATATTCATTACACGTGCGAATTAATTTCCAGTATTCATTACACGTGCGAATTAATTTCCAGCGAACGGTACTCTGAATTTAGCAATACCGGTCCATTTGACTAATATGACGGTCCGGAGTCTGCTTGAGTTAAATATTTTTCCATTTAGGAAGCTGATGTCTTTTTCTTTGCAAAAACGTTCAGTGGGTAAACCTAGTTTCCATGTTTTTTTCACATAGTCCCTTCCATTTCAAGTGACAGTGGCAAACGAGTACTGTCAAAACGGATTAAACCACTTGTCAAGCTTCATCTGGCCTGAAGAAGTGGAGCACTAGTTCTGTTTTCCCAGTTGCTGCAGAACTTCCCGCCCAAGTGTTTCAAGTGTTTGCACTCTGAATGCAACTCTTGTCTCCTCCTTGCGCACTACTTTGGCCATCCTACTTTCACGAAGTAGATGGAATTCACGCTGACATTTGTCGAAATCTATCCGTTTTAGAGATTCGCTGTTGGTCAACGAATGATACGGTCCCAGCTGTACTACAGCAGCTTTATTCCTTGGAATTTCATTTCTACCAGGGAAAACAATTACCTATCCTATTTTTATCATTTTCGATAATCTTCAGTGATACATATGACACGCATTTTTCCGGTGGGTTTGAGCATTTTTCACAGTGCCGTTTGTTTTCTTGATTCCAGGTCGTGCGCTCAGGTTTCTTCGCTTCGCTAAGCTTCTCAGTCTCATCAGATTACTTCGATTGTCACGTCTGGTGCGCTATGTCAGTCAGTGGGAAGAAGTGAGTGTAACTGTGCTAGTTTCCAGTGCACCACCTGCCATGAATTCTTGTCATATCGCAGACACACCGCAGGGGTTACATCTTAAATAGCCCAAGGTGGAATTACTTTTTTGGGGCAAAATTTTTACTGTTGTAATCATCTTCAGGCAATTCATATACTCACTCTAAGGGGATTTGATACGCTTGTCAGGAGACAAAATTACCTCTCATAATAACTGATCAGACAGGTGTAACTTCAGAAAGTTA